TGAATAAAACTTGATATCATACTTAATAACGATATTATTTATTGATAAAATTAAATTCCTTACAATTTACCTTACAATATCCATAAAATTAAATCATGACAATGACTGACAAACACTAATGTGAACAATGGCCTTGCATCTCCTTGGAAAGTTTGGGTAAGTCAGGTTTGTATTTTGTTGTTTTTAATTTTAGGCATGATTCCAGGTTCTCATCAATAAGACGACTTCTCAATTTACTCTTGATAAGGTTCATGCTTGAAAATGATTGTTCGCATAAATATGTAGACCCAAATAAGGAAAGAACAGCAAACGCTAGTTTTTTCAGTTGATTATATGAGTCAGGAATACTATTCCCCCCACTTCTTCTAACGCCACTTCTTCAAAATAGACTCGCCCAGGCCGAAAACCGACTTCTGCCATGGGCCACGAAGTTTCAATCGCACTGTATGTGCGTGTCCGCATGTGGTATTTTGTGGAAGAGCCACACTCAAGGGGCCAAAGAGCCGCATGTGGCTCATGGAGCCGCAGTTTGCCAACCACTGGTTTAACCAATTCCTGGTTAGGAAACTATTCTAACCCAATCTTTCATCCTGCTGATGAAATCAGTCCTTAATCTGTTTAAATCAAGAATGGCATAGCAAGGAGCCCTTTGCTTTCCACAATCTCATTTTGGATTGTTTTCTCTTCCAGCTCTTATCGTCATTAGAGACCTCAGATACCTGCACCCAGTTCTCAGACTCCCCTGAGTCCCCGCTGCTGAGCACGACAAACAGCCCAGAATGCAGTAGCCCAGAGATGGACAGAGTGGTCTCCCTTAAATGCAAACAGCAGACCCCCCAGTACCTCTTCCAGGAGAAAATATCAAAAATTTCTCTGCCGACAAAATCCCAGCGCTACTCGTTGAACCCACGTTGGACTTGGCTAAAGAATAACGCGAGGAAACAGCATCTGATGTCAGAGCTGTTCACCAAGGTTCACCTGAGGGAGAAGTTCTCCTTGTTCCCAGCTTCCTACAACTCAAAGCTGGCGTTACGTAACCAGTCACGTGAGTGCCAGCCTGTTCAGGGATATACCAAGAGCACATGGAGTAACCAACAGAACCAGTCCTAATCTTTGGGGAGCATCCAGTCTGAAGGGGGATACATTCCCTGTCCTTAGGGTGACCGCAGTCTGATGGTGGAGACATAGTCTGTGTCCTTAGGGAGTCTCCAGTCTTACTGGGAAGATAAGAAAGATAAAAATAGAATGCTATGTCTAAGTACCCTCTTCAACATTCCCTGGTTCTCATTCAGTTGAGGCCCACTCAGCTAAATCTGTACCAGATGGAGGCATTAAGTATGAAAAAACAGGGAAGAGAAACTATTTAGAGAACAGAACAATGGATGATTCTGATTCAGGATCAGATTTAGGCCAGGAGACCCTAGAGCAGTGGTTCTCAACCTTCCTAATGCCGTGATCCTTTAATACAGTTCCTCATATTGTGGTGACCCCCAACCATAAAATTATTTTCGTTGCTACTTCATAACTGTAATTTTGCTACTGTTATGAATCGTCATGTAAATATCTGATATGCAGGATGTATTTTCATTGTCACAAATTGAACATAATTAAAGCATAGTGATGAATCACAAAAACAATATGTAATTATATACGTGTTTTCTGATGGTCTTAGGCGACCCCTGTGAAAGGGTCGTTCGACCCCCAAAGGGGTCGCGACCCACAGGTTGGCGACCCACAGGTTGAGAACCGCTGCCCTAGAGGGAGGTGGCCTTTTCCAAGAATTTGTGCTGAGTCCAGCAGCCTAAATTGATAATGCCAATTTATCAGTTTCTTTGCCTTTCCAGAAAACTTCTCCCTGCCCCAGAAGTGTTACTTGCGCAGCCAAAGCTCTCATGAGAAGAGGCCGCTGGATATGCCCTCCCTCCTCTTCTTGAAGAAAACTCACCGCCGTGATATTTCTCTGAGGGATCTACTGGTGGTGGCTACTTCAGCCCGACTGGATCCGAGGCCTGACAGAAGACGTCTGGGTGCTATGAGGGACCTGTGTATACAGGATCGGGAAGCATGCAATCACTGCCTGATCTCTGGCCAAAAAGAATGTGAGAGGAAATAGGTAGGCCCACCCATATTCCCTTAATGTGCCTGGTGCATTGGCAAGCACCATATGTATATATTTCTGGAATGAATGTTGGGTAAGTAGGTGGGTGGATGGATTGATAAAGCCATACAGGTAAGTAGACAATTGAGACTAACCTTAGTTAACATGTGACCCCCCTTGCAATTTATAGTTCTGCTACAACTAATCTGTCCCCCTGCTTTAAGTGCACTTTGCCTTGTCTTCACTTACGGCTAAAATTGAGACCATCATTAAAGCCGGTCCCAGAAGTAGAACCATGTCAACTGTGAGGGGTTGATTTCCACATCTTACATGCTGTGCCAACCTGGCCTCGGCCCAGTCCACTTGCCCCAAAGCTGGCCCTGTAATGGCGTGTACCGAGGGGACTGAGCAACCAGACAGTGCATACCGAGATGTGGAAACAAAAGATCTTTAAGCTTTGATTCTACTGTGTGAAAGGACCAAAGGGAGCAGGGAGCCCTCTGTCAGAACTTCAGTTGGTATATAGAAACGTCAGAGAGCTCTGCAGCATAGCACTGCATGGTAGAGGGGTTTGTGCTGCTGGGCACACTTGCCTTTGGTGTACCAGAAGCCTTGCGTGCATTATCTCAATCCTCAGAGAAACTCTATGTGGTTAATACCATGTCATTCTTTTTTTTTTCCAAATGAGGAAACCAAAGTTTAGAGAGGTTAAGTAACTTGCCCAAGAACACACAGATAATGAGCTCCTAAGCGTGTGTTCTTAATCACTACCACTTATTATCTCTGGCCAGCCATCTTGGCTGCTCTTAAATAATCTATAGCAAATGTTTGGGGCTATAGGGATGTAGGAAGATGAATGTAAAATGAATGTAGGTAAAATGAATTTCTGGTGACCATGGATGTGAATCACCTGAGCATCTCCTGCAACACTAGATAAGAATGGTGATGATGTGTTAATTGGCCTGAATATTCTAGAGGCCATTTTACCGTTTTACAGGAAAATCTAAAAAAAAAATCTTCTTTTTCCCCCCCCAGAATCAGACTGGATCTCTGCTATTCCCCACCCCACCTCCATTTTACTTTTTACTCCCAGGAAATGATTTGTCTCTTCTTACAGTGTCTACAATGCCCATGGGATGAACCAAAAGTTTTATTTTCTCAACTAGATATCCTAGTCTTCTAAGTCCCTCCCTCTCACTAGCACCACTGAGGCCAACAGCCTTGCTTTTTGTGCCCTCCCAGTTAGCTGACAGTGCTGTAGGACCATGACTTCTGGGAGTTACTGATGTTGTCCCGGGACACGCCCCATGTTGCTCCTACCGGTGTCATTCCTATGGGCCCCTCACATGGCACCATCATCCAGAACACTCCCCCAGACGGAGCAGTGCAAGGGAGGAGTGTTTCAGAGGAGGGTTCACAGCTTTCAAGAATCCAAAGTCCTCAGTCCACCGACAGGCCTGTGTCAGTTGGTCTTCAACTCCAAAGAGCAAAGGCAGAGAGAGGGCTAGACATGACGGAGAACTCAGAGCCCCGAGTGAGAGAATTGGGGCAGTCACCACCACCAGGTACAGATCATACTTCCTCCCATCCCAGCCACCTCCGTGCCCAGACATCTTCCTGCTACTGCCCTTACCAGCCCCACTCAATCTCGCCAGTGAAGACAGAGGTGAGGAGAGAGTGGCCAGCCTGCAGATGTTTCTTCCATCAACCTACAGAAATGCTGCATTTCCCCCTCATGTGTACATTAATAAAATAAATCACCATGCTCGATGCCAGGAGAAGGAGCCCGATTCGTTAATATTGTCAAGGGCCTAAAATGTTATCCTGGGAAGTGTTCCCCTTAACTCCGTGGGCTGTGGCAAACCACTGCAGGTTTTTGAACGGGAGAGAGATTTCATGGAGGGTGAGAACGATGGATCCGGTAGCAGATGGTAGGATGGATGAGTGGCAAGGAGAGAGCCTGAGGTAGGAGAGTGGTTTGGAGGCTCAGACGGTGGCCTGCGTTTGAAGCCCTGGCAGCCCCTATCGGAACGGCTGACGGTGGGAAAGAAAAGAGGACAGGCCAGTCAGCCATCGTAGAGCTGGACATGGCAGTTGAACAAATGTAGGGAACAAGGAAAAGGGAACAAAAAGGCGGCTTCCAGAGAATTGAGTCCCTGAAAGAAAATAGGGACACTGGGAGAAGCAGCTTTGGGGGATGGAGATCAGAGTGTCTGTGTCATAAAGCAAGCGGATGAGTTCCTGTCCTCAGATGGGTTTAAAAGAGCAGCACTAACGGAAAAGTTTCTCAATGCAAAAATAACGTTCCTAAAATTATTAGGAAAATGGCCACGTTGGTCTGGGCAGGTTTTTCCAGGCTCAGAACTATCTGGGCAGCTAAAAAGACTGTGTGCTCTCACCTTGCTGTGGATCAAATTGGTCAGTGGGGGTGGG